TCTGTGTGTCTCTGTGTGTGTGTCTCTGTGTGTGTGTCTCTGTGTGTGTGTCTCTGTGTGTGTGTCTCTGTGTGTGTGTCTCTGTGTGTGTGTGTCTCTGTGTGTGTCTCTGTGTGTGTCTCTGTGAGTGTCTCTGTGTGTGTCTCTGTGTGTGTCTCTGTGTGTGTCTCTGTGTGTGTCTCTGTGTGTGTCTCTGTGTGTGTGTCTCTGTGTGTGTGTGTCTCTGTGTGTGTGTCTCTGTGTGTGTGTCTCTGTGTGTGTGTCTCTGTGTGTGTGTCTCTGTGTGTGTGTCTCTGTGTGTGTCTCTGTGTGTGTGTCTCTGTGTGTGTCTCTGTGTGTGTCTCTGTGTGTGTCTCTGTGTGTGTCTCTGTGTGTGTCTCTGTGTGTGTCTCTGTGTGTGTCTCTGTGTGTGTCTCTGTGTGTGTCTCTGTGTGTGTCTCTGTGTGTGTGTCTCTGTGTGTGTCTCTGTGTGTGTCTCTGTGTGTGTCTCTGTGTGTGTGTCTCTGTGTGTGTGTCTCTGTGTGTGTCTCTGTGTGTGTCTCTGTGTGTGTCTCTGTGTGTGTCTCTGTGTGTGTCTCTGTGTGTGTCTCTGTGTGTGTGTCTCTGTGTGTCTGTGTGTCTCTGTGTGTCTATGTGTGTGTCTGTGTGTCTCTGTGTGTCTCTGTGTGTCTCTGTGTGTCTCTGTGTGTCTCTGTGTGTCTCTGTGTGTCTCTGTGTGTCTCTGTGTGTCTCTGTGTGTGTGTGTCTCTGTGTGTGTCTGTGTGTGTCTGTGTGTGTCTGTTGTGTCTGTGTGTGTCTGTGTGTGTCTGTGTGTGTCTCTGTGTGTCTGTGTGTGTCTCTGTGTGTCTGTGTCTGTCTGTGTCTCTCTGTGTCTCTCTGTGTCTCTCTGTGTCTCTCTGTGTCTCTCTGTGTCTCTCTGTGTCTCTCTGTGTCTCTCTGTGTCTCTCTGTGTGTGTCTCTCTGTGTCTCTCTGTGTCTCTCTGTGTGTGTCTCTCTGTGTGTGTCTCTCTGTGTGTCTCTGTGTGTCTCTGTGTCTCTGTGTGTCTCTGTGTGTCTCTGTGTGTCTCTGTGTGTCTCTGTGTGTCTCTGTGTGTCTCTGTGTGTCTCTGTGTGTCTCTGTCCGTGTCTCTGTCCGTGTCTCTGTCCGTGTCTCTGTCCGTGTCTCTGTCCGTGTCTCTGTCCGTGTCTCTGTCCGTGTCTCTGTCCGTGTCTCTGTCCGCGTCTCTGTCCGTGTCTCTGTCCGTGTCTCTGTCCGTGTCTCTGTCTATGTGTGTGTGTGTTTCTGTGTAACAGTGTCTGTGTGTGTACGTGCGTATGTGCGTATGTGCGTATGTGTTTGTGTGTCTGTGTATGTGTGTATGCGTCTATGTGTGTATCTGCGCCTGTGTCTGTGTGTATGTGTCAGTGTGTCAGTGTGTGCGCGTGTGTATGTGTATGTGTGCATGTGCGTATGTGTGTCTGTGTCTGTGTGTATGTGTCTATGTGTGTACCTGTGTGTCTGCGTGTGTGTGTGTGTTGTGTCTGTGTGTCTGTGTATGTGTGTGTGTGTGTCTGTGTCTGTGTGTCTCTCTGTGTGTGGCTATCCGTCTGTGTGTCTGTTTATCTGTGTTTGCATGCCTGTATGTCTGGAGGGCTGTATGTCTGTATGTATGTCTATATGTATGTCTGTGTGTATGTCTGTGTGTATGCCCTGTGTGTTTATGTGGGGGGGCGAGTAAGTGGGTGGGTGGGCGGGCGGGCGGGCGGGCGGGCAGGCTGGCTGGCTGGCTGGCTGGCTGGGGTGGCTGGGAGGGTGGGTTCGCGGGCGGGTGGGTATGTTATGTATGCATGATATGTATGTATATATGATATGTATGTTTTGCGATGTAATGTAATGCTATGTTCTGGTATGTTGTGGTGGGTATGCCATAGCGTTTTACATTATTTTTTCATGTATGCCACGTGTGTTATGAATATGATAAATGGTCGGTATGTATGTAATGTAATGTAATGTAATGTAATGTAATGTAATGTAATGTAATGTAATGTAATGTAATGTAATGTAATGTAATGTAGTGTAATGTAATGTAATGTAATGTAATGTAATGTAATGTAATGTAATGTAATGTAATGTGGTGTGGTGTGGTGTGGTGTGGTGTGGTGTGATGGAATGGAATGCAATGGAATGGAATGGCATGGCATGGCATGGCATGGCATGTAATGTAATGTAATGTAATGTAGGTAGGTATGTATGTTTGTTTGTACGTTATGTATGTTGTGCCTGGTATGTATGGTATGCATGTACGTATTGTCTTGTCTTGTCTTGCAATGTATTGTAATGCTATGCTATGGTGCGTTGTGTTACCTTGTGTTCTGTCAATTATGTACAAGATTGTATTGTTGGGTGAGGGTGTGTCTCGAAATAGAATTTGGAGCCCACAAAATGGGTGGTGTCCCTTTTGATTTCCCTCTAAAACCATCTAAAACAGGGATTGCTGACGGACAAGATCCCGCCAAATCCCCCTCGCGCAAATAATGGGATAAACCACCTGCAGGATTTACTTCTCCCTTTTCGGTGGCTTTCCATGACATTCTCCCAGCCGTGGGGGTCGTTGGCCTTATGTGGCCAAATGGCTGGCAAATCCCGAACCCGTAAGATACTGTGGATAGACAACATCTCCCCAGCAAAGGGGGGTGGTCCAGCAAATTGGGGGGTATCCTAAGTCTCTTAATGATTGATGTACGAGTGTTCAGTCCCCTAAATGGACAGGTCTTCCCAATTCGCGCGGGTTCTCAATAAATTGAGGCAAAGGTACTACCTGCATTGCGGATACACCCGATCGGAAGGACTACTCGAAAGAGCCAACATAAATGGAGGAGCTTCGCCCAAGCGCTGGGACAATTTGAAAATCTTAGAGATTGGACCACTTCTAACCGTTCTCTTGCCACCCGTCCCTCCGTCAACAAATAATTCAAAGGAGACTCAAGGGGCCAAGCTGCATCTCTGAGGCTTGCCCAGGATACTCTTTCTTGCACCTTCTACGGGAACTCACGAGATTGGCCATATCTACCAGTCAAGTGAAAAGCTCACCTCCCGAGTAGATGTGCCACGAAGTTCCTGCACTAGTTGTCCGCCACTAAAAGTTTTCCGGAAGTCCGGCATCGTTCCATTTGGTTAAGAACCTTAAAAAAAAATGTCCAGTAGTGAAACCGATTCCCTGTAAAATTAACAGGGGAAAATAACACATATTCATTTCAGCAAATGGAGGCATCCCAGCGGCTGCAGCTGGTAACCACCGCCCCGTAGCTGACCTCATCCGGCCTCGCACATGCTGGAGCACATCTCCGGTGCTGACATCAAACAACTTTCGGAGTCCACAAAAGCATGGGTTTGGCGGTTTGGCGGCCCTACCCAGACACAAAAAAAAGGCCAAGAAAGGCGCATGGTTTACGGGTGGGGTGTCCCTACCCAGACCAAAACAAACAAAAAGAAACCCCAAAAAAGGGCATCACGACCTTGGAGTCTCCTCTGAAAGGTGTTGGAACCGGGAACGGCATCAAATTAAAGAGGCTGAATATTGCAATGGGGTTGTGGGGTACTTTGAAATCAAACCAAGGCATGATAAGAGAACAACGTGTGCAAGTAAATTGTGGCACCTACATTATATGCTTCAGGTGACCTCAATTCGCACCCCTCACCTGCCCTGATTTGGGACCTGAGGTCAAATTTGCTGGGGTCGGGCAGCTGTTTACTGCAAGAAATAAGCCGTCGGCAGCAAATGAAAACGTCTACCACTTGCTGAGTTTGTCTTCGACAACGCACAGGCGCAGCACGACGCTCACCTTAGGCACAACATCTATTGCTAGTGGAAACGTGTGTCAAGTTTCAGATGTCCACAGCCACAGTTGCTCTTGGTTGATTTCGCGAATTCTCCAGTCATCAAACTTCGTGGTAGCAGCACTTTGGGTGGTCGCGCGTTGAATTCCGCAGGCGCAGCACGTAGCATGTCTGACCGGAGGCACTGACTGGCAGGTGGCAGGTAGTACTGCCTTGGGTCGCACGTCGAACTTCGTGGATAGATAAGAAAGAAAGGAAGACAGATAGCAATATATACATGGAAACGACAGATTGATGGATAGAAAGGAAGCATCATAGATAGATGGATAGAAAAATTAGATACATACACACATAGATACATAGATACATAGATACACAGATACATAGATACATAGATACATAGATACATAGATACATAGATACATAGATACATAGATACATACATACATAGATAGATAGATAGATAGATAGATAGATACATACATACATAGATAGATAGATAGATAGATGGATGGATGGATGGATGGACAGATTAGACTAGACACAATAGAAAGATGGATAGATTAGTTGGGCAAAATTGTATTGGTTTAGATAAGATTTGGTTAGATAGGTAGGTTGAGGATAGGTTGGATGTAAAAAGATCGATTAGCTTAGACTACGTTAGATAGATTTAGCAAAAAAGCAAAAAGAAATGAATAGATAGATATATGAGATTGATAGAACAGGAGATGAGATAGCTAGATAGCCAGATAGCTAGAACGATAGATAGATGGATTGATAGATTGATAGATTAGATAGGACCTTAGGAGAGACAGGTTGATAGATAGATACAAAGATAGAAAGATAGAAAGACAAAGAGACAGAGAGATAGAGAGATGGATCGATTGGATTGGCTTAGGTTAGATTAGATTAGGTCAAATTAGATGATTGGATGGATAGATTGATAGATTAGATTAGATTGATAGATGGGAGAGATAAATAGACCGGATAAATGGGTGGGTGGGTGGGTGGGTGGGTGGGTGGGTGGGTGGGTGGGTGGGTGGGTGGGTGGGTGGGTGGGTGGGTGGGTGGGTGGGTGGTGGGTGGGTGGGTGGGTGGGTGGGTGGGTGGGTGGGTGGGTGGGTGGGTGGATGGATGGATGGATAGATGGATGGATAGATAGGGAAAATTACATTACAATAGAATAGAACAGAATCGATAGATTAGATAGAAGCCACAAACCCGAATGCAGAAATTTCCCAAAGCTTCCGTTGTGTGTGTGTCGCCCTGCCTATCAATTTCCCTGCCTGTTGACCTACCGGTGTTTCTATCTATCCATTTGCCTGCCTATTTGTCCATGCATCTATTTTTGCATCTATCCTATCTATCTGTCTAGCCGTCTCTCCCTTTCCATCTCCGCATTTGTACATCTATCCACCTGTTCATTTATCTACCTACCTCTATTTATCTATCCATCTTTTTATTTATCTATTTATCTAGCTAAGCTAATCTAATCGAATTTATTGGTGGTTTCCTTTTGGCGTCCTTTAAACCAACCCTAAACAGGGTACCCCTAAAAACAGACACACCCATTTGGCCCACAAAGAAGCAGGAGAACCCTAGCGTCTCATTGATATCGGCACATCCAAGTGCCTGGGCCACGCAGTCTTCATCCCAACAAGCTAAGCTGGGGTGTTTTGCTGGACTGCCTTTTGTTGGAGGCAGAGTGGCTTTTGCAGGGAAGCCACCAGGACATTCACGAGGGGGGGGTCGCCTGTTTGAAGGCACACCCAAGGCCTAAGCCCCGCCCCCAGATCCGACGCCTTAGCATCGCGCCGCGCATCTGCCGCAGCCGCTGAAACGCGTGCTCTGCTGAAGCGCAAATGCCTCAAGTGCGCACGGCGGGGGCATGGCTGGCTCGTCTTTTTGGAGGGTACCCTCTTGTTTGTGGGCTTCAAAGAAAACCAAAAGGACAACCACCATCTTGGGGGTCCCTGGAAAAAGTCACACCCACATGGTTGTGAAGGCTTTTGAAACCCAACACTGGAAGTGGACGGTCTGGGTCTCCCCCAAAGGAAAATAGTCTCCAGAACTCTCTGATCGTCAGCTCTATGATTGTTGGAGGGAAGGTGGTAGGCCTCAGTATGATTTCATCAAACCAAATAGCAGAACCACAAGCTTCAATGCCAATCGGTTTTAGGCGAGGACACCAGGACACCTATGGTCTCTTCGGGTTTAGGAATAACACATATGGACCGTGCACGGTTCCCCCGCCGCCATACCTCACATGGGTGTGGGTCAAAATTAAATCACCAAAACAACGCAGGTTTTAGTCATGGGTTCCATTTACCAGGGTTCCATTTTGGGTACCCATTTTTGACCCACTGCCACATCCCACCACGCTCTCCAACCCCACTCTCACGTCACTCTCCGCTCCCGCCAACCTTTCCACCAACCTATTAGACTGGAAGGATCAATTTCTATCACCAGTTCTGGCTCATTTCGAACACATGCCCTGGACTCGGGGTGGGAGTATGGTTGTTTCTGGGTTGAGCAGGCTGGTCTAGGGTTGGTTTAGGGTTGGTCAGGGGTTGGCTTAGGGTTGAGGGTCCAGATTGTGGTGGGTTTTGGATGGTTTTAGGGTTGGCTCAGTTTGGATTGGGGCCGGTTTGAGGATGGTTTAAGTTGGTTTAGGTTTAAGTTTCCCGGTGCTCAAAAAAAACGAGCCGCAACACGCGTTCAGAAACCAGATGCTTTCCTAAAGTCCCCCCATGATCCAAGCCGAACTCCCCAAAAATGCCTGGACTTCGATCAGCATCGTGCAGTGGCGCGCCGCCCCGGAACGTACCATGACAGAGTTTAGACCACCCCCCCTTTTATAATAACATCAACCACCCTTAAGCTTGCCGCAGCGCGGTTGAGTTCGTCACCTTCAACAATCAGGTTGAGGAAACTTGGACGACCTCCTTGTGCGGGTACTGGTCGCTTTGAAGGGTTCCTTATGATGCTTGTCTGTGAAAATCATCCCTGTCATGGCACTCACACGGGTCTCAAACTATGGCACCCAACAATAATGTAGACTTCTGCTTGGCGAAAATCGCAGGTGTTGAGGGTTCCCCTATTCAGATACAGACACTGTACATTGCTAGCACCGGGAATCATGTCCACCAGTCCCGTTGCGCAAACATAAACATTATGCCCACGCAAGACAACTTCTATGAAATAAAGCATCTTCTCTGGTGAACAGGTCTTCTAGTACAGCGGACCAATTTATACACGTCAACCTGCTTGGCCTGCGCAGTTGATCGAATCTCGGTCTTGCCAAACTCAAATTGCTGTTCAGCAAATCAACGTGATCCACGAGCCGCATGTCAGTTGTCACTCAACCCCTGCAGGTGTGTAAGTATGCGGAAAGGGTTGCTCCAAACGCCAAAGAGGAAAAGGTGAGTCATAGTCAAAACCCGGTAGTAAAATGGTCTACCCAGAACCATGTGAAGAAATTATGAAGGCGGCCGCGGCTATTTTTGGTTGGGATTGTCCCTGACTCCTGATTGACCTTCATCTACCCGGGTTTTGATTGTGGCTCAGGTCACTCCCCACCCCTCCCCCACTCCCCCCCCTCCAGGGCCCCCGACCCAGCGCCACGTTCCAGGCCTTCACCTCCAATCGCGTGCGCATCTCCTCCGCATTTTTCAGCAGCGCGGAGGCCTGCTGCCAGCGCCGCCCGCTGCGGCATGCGCCCAGCAGCAGCCTGGCTGCGTTGCCCAGGACCCCAAAGACTAACCAGCGGGGAGAAACCCCGAGCGATCCCACAACCCTGCTTCGAGCTGGAAAAGAATGGAATGATCCCGAGATAACCCATCCAACCGATCTGGTTTCCTTGATTCGGGGTTCATTGCCAACACCCGCAAGGTCATTCCCGAGATTCAAGGTTCTGCTTTTGGTGAAAATGGTCCAAGGAGAAACTCAAAGGTCAGCTTCTAGGTCGGTTCGCTTTGGGCAAATAAGTTGGGTGAAACATGTTGGGCCTTCCGATTTCCCTTTGAATTGAATAAGGGATTTCCCCTGCACGAGTTCCCTTCATTTTGGCTGTTGCCGCTACACAAAATACCCCATAAATAGAACCAACCCCCTGTAGGACAGGGCCATGCCCAGCAAACAAAGAAACCCAAGCCAGCGTTTGGTTCACCTTTTAGCGGGTCCATTGAAATGACATCCTTCAAACGACCCGAGCGAAACTTGGCGGTGTCAACTGAAAACGTGACCCAAAAGTAGGTTTTGAGAAGCCCTCAACATGCGACCACTTTACGGGGCCCATATCTTTTAAGCCGGGACTCCCCTAGTTTGGTTTTGAAGAAAACCTGTTCGCTTAGGGGTGATTTCGAGGAAACCAAAGCCCGTTGCGAGAACCAACCCGCTTTTCGGCGTTGCCATATGTTCACGCCACCCCCAAGCGGGGGGGCCCTCGGCAAAAAAAAAGAACACCGCGGGAAGCATGTGTGCGTGTGTGTGCGTGTGTGTGCGTGCGGCGTCGCGGCTTTACTTGTGGTCTTGGCGATGTGGCGTGCGAGCTTGCGACGCGGCGTCACGTCGCGTCTTGGCGATGCGTGTCGCGGCGTCGTGTCGCGGCGTCGCGTCGCAGCGTCTTAGCGTCTGGCAATCTTGGCAATCACCAGCGTCTGTCTGCAGCGTCGCGCAGCGTCGCCCGCGTGTCAGCGGCGTCGCGTGTCAGCGATGTCGCGTCGCAGCGTCTTGCCCCGATCTGCGATCTGGCAATCTGGCATCGCCAATCTCTGTATCTGTATCTGCTTAATCTGTATCTGCTTATCTGTATCTGCTTAATCTGCCAATCTGTAAGCCTTGAGCCTTTCAGATTGATCTGCCAGCGTCTGCGACTTGGGTAAACGATGGCCCCAATCTTGGCCCCCGATGCAGCGTCTGGCGATGCGGCATCAGCGATCGCAGCGTCTTGGCGATGCGCGTGCTGGCGTCTGCGTCTTGCAGCGTCTTGTCTGCCGATCGCGGCGATAGCGACGATCGCGAGCGTCTTGCCCAGCGTCTTGCGTCTTAGCAGCGTCTTAGCGATCTTGGCGATCGCGTCTTGGCGATGTGGCGATGCTGGCGATGCGGCGTGCTGGCGTCTTAGCGTCGCGCGCAGCGTCGCGGCGTCGCGGCGTCGCAGCCTTCCGCCGATCTTTGGCAATCTTGCGTCTGCAACGTCTTGGCGTCTTGTGCGTCTTCAGCCTCTTGGCGTCGCGCGTCTGCAGCGTCTTGGCGATAACGGCGTCTTGGCGTCTTGCAACGTCGCAGCGTCTTGACAGCGCAACAGCCCAATCTTGTGACAGCCTTGTAGCCAGCATCCTTGTGGCGTCTTGGCGATAGCAACGATAACGGCGTCTTGTCGTGCCCAGCGTCGCAGCGTCTTGGGCATCTGTATCTGCTTATAACATGTATATCTGCCTCTTTAACATCATCTTAATATACTATATGCCTACTATATATAGCATCGCATCTTATCATCATCTCATCTGCTGTATCTGCCAATCTCTTTTAATCAGCATCGCATCATCACATCATCATCATCTTCTCATCGCATCATCATCGCATCTTATCACATCAGCTCCCATCTATCATCTATCATATCTATCTACAATCTTATCATCATCACATCATGCGCATCGCATCATCGCATCATCTTATCGCATCTTTTATCACATCATCATCGTATCGCATCGCATCATCGCATCATCATCATAACCGTATCATCATCATCGCATCGCATCACATCGCATCATCATCAAATCATCGCATCACATCATATCATCTTTTTATCTGCTCACTCATCATCTTATCATCATCGCATCATCTGCCAACATATATATATAGCCAAGCCTTATCTACTTATCTATATCTGCTTATCTGTATCTGCTATCTGTATCTGTATCTGCTTATCTGTATCATCAACCTTATATATATATATAGCAAGCATCATCTTATCATCTTAATACATCTATAACATCACATCATCATCATCTGTATCACATCTTATCTACATCTATCATATAATGTCACATCTTAATCACATCACATCTTATCTATCTATCACATCATATCATCATCTATCATCACATCATCACATCGCAGTATAAATCTCATCTTATCTTGCATCATCATCACATCTATCTATCAGCTCAACTAATCAATCATCTATCATCTATCATGTCATCAAATGCAATCAGTAAATGCATTAAATCATCATCCATCATCATCTATCTATCTATCATCATCATCGTCTTATCATCTATCTATCATATCACATCTGTATCTTATCATCTATCACATCTACCATATCTATCTATCTATCTATCTATCTATCACATCTATCTATCTTATCTATCTATCTATCTGAAAATCACATCTTATCTTATCTATCTATCTATCTATCATCTATCACATCTTATCTATCTATCTATCTATCTATCTATCATATCTATCACATCTATCTATCATCATCACATCGTATAACATCACATCTTATCATCTATCATATACATCTATCTATCTATCTATCATCTTTTATCATCTTATCTTTTATCTATCTTATCACATCCTCTATCTATCTATCTATCTATCTATCTATCTATCTATCTATCTATCATCACATCATCTATCTATCTTATCACATCATATCTTATCATCTTATCTTATCTATCACATCTTATCTATCTATCACATCTATCTATCTATCACATCACATCTCGCATCTTATCTGCAATCTTATCTATCATCCATCATATCATCACATCCCTCCCTCCCTTATCTATCTATCTATCACATCACATCACATCACATCACATCGCATCACATCACATCACATCTTATCGCATCTCATCGCACATGCATGCATCATCATGCATCATCATCAATACATCACCTCAAATCACCTCGCATCTGTCTTATCTTATCTTGTATTTACACATATGTACTAACACTATATTATGTTACATCTTACTTATCATCTATCATCTATCTATCTATCTATCATCTATCTATCTATCTATCTATCTTTATCTATCTATCTATCTAATATCTATCTTATCTATCTATCTATCTATCTATCTATCGCATCTTATCTTATCTATCATCTATCTATCTATCTATCTTATCTATCTATCTATCATATCTATCTATCTATCATCACATCATCACATCACATCACATCTATCATCGCATCTTTTCATCTTATCACATCTTATCTTATCTTATCTATCACATCATCTGCACGTCTACATCACTATCATCACATCACATCTTATCACATCACATCTATCTATCTATCTATCTATCTTATCTATCTATCTATCTATCTAATATCTATCTATCTATCTATCAGGTTTATCATATCTTATCACATCACATCATCAATACATCTTATCATCACATCATATCTATCTCATCTTTATCTATAATAAATACATCATCACAATAAATAATAATAATAATAATAATAATATATATATATATATATATATATATATATATATATATATATATATATATATATATATATATATATATATATATATATATATATATATATATATATATATATATATATATATATATGTGTGTATGTGTATGTCCCTTTTCCAAACCGCATAACCTCCATCCGGTACGTGGGCAAAACATTTTAAACAGAACCAGGGAACCAAACAGCCAACGCGAACACATTACTCACCTGCCTGGTGTTCTGGAAAATCAATCCCTTCCCCACAAAGTGTTGCCTCAAAAAGCAGCTCTGAGGCTGTCTCAAAAATAAGAAACAACTTTTCTAGGGGTAACTTCCCCATTCTTTCCAGGGATCCTTCTTTCCAGAAAACCACCAAAAAACCCAAAGAAATGGATCTGGTCTTTGAAAAGAACGATGGCTGAAAAGAATGGGGAATCAACCCCTAGACTTTTAGGGGAAACAAAGGGGAACCCGCAACCCTACTTTGGGGCGGAGTCGGGGGTTCTTGTTTGCGACCCGCCCGTCTGGGTGGATAAAATGACTCCCTGCCTTATCAGTGGTTTTCACCAGTGAATGATTCTCTTCAAGAAGCCTACCCAGGCTGATCGGGTATGTCTCAAAATAGGGGTATCTCAAAAATAGGTGGTTTGATTTTGGTTTGCTGTTCTTTCCCCATCCAAAAACAGTACCCCCAGCCTCAAAAATAGACATGCCCATTCAAACTTACGGTCAGGAATCTGAAACCATTTGGCACCCACTCCGCGAGTTCATTTGACCTCAGGCTCCAGCGTGAAGGTAATGGAGTTGTAGGAGATGCCATCCTGAAACCATCTCCGAGTGCCAACCATGTTCAAACAGCTGAGTGATCAAGACCCATCGGTACATGACTTGGTGCGCCAGGAACCCATGGTATCGCGCTGAAAAGGCGGCGAAGGCCTTCGCCCCATTCACAGTGACCAACCAACTCGTCTACCCGGGCTGGAAAATTGCGGCTCTGTTGTTTGAACAACCTGTGGCTTCCCCCTAAGGCAGGAAAGGCTCGATCTGTGAAACCGCATTGTACCAAAAGCAAGCCTTTCAGACCTCCGTCTGAAGACCAGCAAAGGGGCTTCCCAATTGAGACATCTCTCAAAAGCTTTGAACCCGGTGATGGTTCCTCCTTGATTTCCCCAACAGCCCGCAAAAAACAACGGCTTCTTCTATGTCCGACCGCAGAATCAAGAGCATGTAGTGTAGTATAGAAAAAACATACCCGCTAGCAGGCAAAACAAAGCAAACGTTTCTCTAATCAATCGCAAACAAAATGCCGGTCAAAACTGGTGAAAATAAATGATTGCTGGAAGCAAGGCCAAGCAAGATCTTGGGCGCGCCGCAAGAAAGCCACAAGAGGAGCAACGCACAAACATGGCGTTTAGAAGCGTTGGCGAACGTAGGGCTTGGAAAAATATTCTTGGGGTTGGGGTGGGGCGAATGATGTAAATACAATGATGCATCAAACCACAAGGGCCCAACACCTGCAGCTTGACAAAAGAGTCTTCGGGGCCATCGTCCAGCCCTCAACTTGGACACCAGATTCCAATACAAGACACGTACCGAAGATCGTTGTCGAGTTGCGAGCTTCATTCCGTACAAACACTGACTTCCGGATGAACTCGATCGGCAGACAAAGCAACCTTCGGCAAACTCTTCGGCAAACTGCCTTCTTTTTCCAAAAAAGAGAGACCTCCGCAAACCCACGGAGGGGTCGATCTCCATGCGCCACTCTCAGCCCCAACCCTCCCCCCTCCCCACACCCACCCCCAGCCCCTCCCCACACCCCACCCAAGCCCCTCCCCACCAACCCTCCCCACACCCACACACAACCCCAGCCCCTCCCCACACCCCACCCAGCCCGAGGCCCAAACCCCTCCGCACTACCCACCACGGATTGACGATCCAACGGGGATCATCTGGCTCAGCCCCGAGGGTAAGCTTGACACAGTTCGAGCTCGATGCTGCACGGGGATCGCTGGACCTGTTCGACGAGTTCGAGAGGAGCCGACCGGCATCCATCGTCGAAGTCTGCACGCAATGTGGATCGCTTCATGAGATCTGCGAAGGCGGCCGAGTCCTGACCGCGCTACGAGTTCTTCTGGCCTGTGCAGGAACGAGTACGCTGGCGCCAGCGCTCAATCTGGCGAGACGGTGACTGGACCGAAACGTACCGGCCGCTGACCGATACGTTTGAGCCACGATAGCGGCAAGCTCAGTGCATCAGCACATGTGAGCGATGGTCGCCGCAACGTCGTGCAGACGCATGAGTCCGGGCTGAGGCCTCGAGCGCAATTGGCTCAGCGACGATGCCGATACCTCCAGTACTCCGTCGAGCGACCGCGTAAACAGATCCGCCTCTTCGACTACACATCGTTCGAAGCACCAGCTCGACATCGCCGAGGCGATGACTATCGCTCGCTCAACCGGTGGTGGACCAGCGATTCGGAGCTCGCCACTCGGTCTGAAGCCGATCCGGCATCCGACCGTGACGGCGATGACAATCAAGGAGGAGCTCTGGCGGACGCAAGTCCTCGCTCCTGAGCTCGCTGAGCATGCGGCTGCTCACCGATCCTGGCGGCCGCTGAACCGCTCTGGGTTGCGCTGCTCCGTCCGGGCTTGCCGGCGCCGCAGGCTCAACATCCCTCATTGGCGCGGTGACCCGTCTTAGGTCAACCTCTTCCGCCGCCTCTCTGCCCCGCTTCTTCACGATCAGTGGCGGGCTTCCCTTCCTCGCTCCGAGGAACGAAGATGAGGTCGATTCGCGGAGCGATGTAAACGAGGCTGCTAGCGCCAGCACCTCGATCCAGCTCATGTAGTAGTTGGTCGACCGCGGTGCGGAGTCCCGGACTGATGGTCAACGGCGAGGTTTCGATTGCACCACGTTGTCACCGATGAGGCGACAATGTATACTGACGTCGAAGCGCGGGTTATAATGTGCCAGGGTTGCGAGCTGATCTCGAGCGATGCTATTGACGCAGTAGCGGTGGCTTGAAGCGCCAACGAGATCAGATGGCGCAATGCGATTGCATCTTCCCGGAGCCGATCTGCACATACTACCGGGCGCATGAGTCACCGGCGGTGCTCTTGACCCATCCGTCTACGTCGGGACCGATGACCCGCGTCAGCGCCGGTCAATGATGCGCGGGATCTCAAGCAGGAGCGTTAAACTTTACCTTGCACCCTGGGGTAGTGCCTGCGATCGATAGCGTACGCGCAAGCCTGATCGCCTGGCTGACACGGCTGACATCAATATGCATGACGTTCGCGACGACGTCTGGAGACGATGTGGCTGCTGGCGCTAATGGCGACTCCATCTTCCGGAGATAGATCGGCGCCGTATTAGCATCGTGAAGCCGCAGATGCGTCGCATGAGATCATGAGTAGGACCTGACACGTCGGTCGTTGCACCGTCGCGGCTCTGCCTCCCCACACCCCACCCGCCCAGCACCCCCCAAACCCCAACCCCAGCTCCACCCCCCCAGCCCCAGCCCCCACACCCCACCCGCATCCCCAGCCCCTCCTCCCAGCCCCAGTCCCCCAGCCCCAGCCCCAGCCCCCCCCCCCCCCCCAACCGATCAACTCGCATCGACTCGGATCGCCTGCGCCATGCGCCGGGCCAGGCGCTGCGCGCCGCGCCAAGCGCCGCGCGGCGCCAGCGCCGCGTGGTGCGCCGCCGAGTCCAGCTCCACGTTGGAGCGCCGCAGCAGCGCCAGGCGCTGCAGCGCCTGTGGGCGGGGGCAACCCCCCTTCAGGTGGCCTGGTCTTGGTGTGTATACATGCAATTGTATGTGCATACATATATATATATATATACATATATGATGCATATATACATATATATATATATATATACATATAAAAATACATATGTCTCTAAAAATACATTCATCCGAAAAAAATGCCAATAAATACCCCCCCCCCCCCCCCGCCCCCTTATGCTCCCAGGTCCCTAACCAGAACTCCTGGTAGCTCCTTAGCTCCCTTTAAAAGCAAAAAATTGGATACCCCAGCTCCTCAGCCCCCCTTCCAACCACCACAGCTAGCGAAGTTCTTGAGTGGTTTGCTCTGAAAATGTTGCCAGACATGTGTCTCACTAAAATGGGGCCAAAAAAAGTATTGCGTCCAGAAACTCAGGGAGTAAAACGTGTCTTTTTGAAACGGCCCTTGTTGGAGGGTTGGCCCCAAAAAAAGCGTGCCACATCCGTCACATCAGTTTTTCGGTGGGGACCTTCTGGCGGAAATCGGTTTTTGGTGAGGATTGATGTCCACCAACCCCTTGGAAGGGTATTGCTCATCAAAACTCGTAGCATCCCAATTACATTGCAGCGTTCCTGATTCCCAACCCGCTTCATAAAACAATCCCACCCTTTTGGGGAGGGTATGAACATCAATCTTTTTGTGGTCATTCACCCAAGCGGAACATAAAAGGGTTATATATACAAACACCCCTAGACGGGGTGAAAAAAAACATGTTTCTTTGCCGAATTTTACGACTATGGCCGTGAACGCAGCCGTTGACAAGACGACTAAGCCGCTCCGTCCCGACGCCGCTCGCCGAGTTCGGAGTGCGCTGGGGGAGCAAATGAGGTCCGAACCCAGGTCGCCAGCCCAGGTTTCACATCTATGGCATGACGACGTGCGTCCACACCATCCTAGAAACAAGAAAGACAGCGTATTTTGCAGATTGTTGTGCCCGAGAACATTCTCTTCACACAGTACAGAATCTGACAGCGTGCCACTGCCACAAATTGGGTATACCAAAACCTACGCAATGAATTGCACCTCGTTCAAATGTATTAAATGTAGAGATTGAAGATGATGCAAATGTATCTGTTCACATTCTAATAGGTGTTGCCACAAACACTACGCCAGATCGGATTTGAGGAAGGGGCTTGGGAAATATGACAGGTCGCATCCTCCTCCAATCCCAAGATAGATGGCAACTTTTTGGAGCGGAGAAAGCTCAGATCCTTAAACCCCAACCAAAAAAGAAGAACGGAGCTGGACGCATCGGACCAGACATCGGATCGCTCAAAGGCCGCCGTTTCCGCTTCGTTCCGCGCGACACGCGCGCCTCCTCCGAGCTCCTTTTGGCCGCCTCCGCGATGGCCTTGGTGGCCCTGAACACCGAAGCCATGGCGCCCGGCAAAAAAGCGGCGACGCGGGCACGGAAACCCCAAAGGAGCCCCTATGAAAAAAAAAATAAAGATGTATCAGGACAATGGTTGGGTACCTATGGTGGGAACTGGGATGGAGCAAAATCCTGTTGCCCCTGAAAATAGTTCGGGCAGGGTGGTTTTGAAGCGAAAAGAGTCTCGATTGGAACTGCTTGTGCTCGGTTTACCGGTTTACTGGTTTACTGGTTGAGTGGTTGAGTGGTTAAGTGAGAGCTTGTGGCGAGTGGTTCAGTGGTTGAGTGGTTGAGTGGTTGAGTGAGTGAGGTTGGGTGGTTGGTTGAGCGAGTGAGGTTGAGTGAGTGTGGTTGAGTGGTTGAGAGGTTGAGTGGTTGAGAGGTTGGGTGGTTGAGAGGCTGGGTGGTTGAGAGGTTGGGTGGTTGGGTGGTTGGGTGGTTGGCTGGTGAGCCAATCCTAACTTGAAAGATAGCCCTTGCGTTATGAAATCAATCACTGGTCTCGAATGATACACCCTATGGATCTCAAGATTTGTTTGGAGTAGAACCATAGAGAAACGACTTTTTTCGTCTTGTCTCGAATGGAAAGTCCCCTAGATGTTGCTTTGGGGCGCTCCCTTTACTTTTTGAGGGTGTTCAGCTTGCTTTAAAGAAATATTAAAAGGAGAACCACCATTTTTGGGGTCTCCCTATTTGGACACATACCCATATCCAGTTTTCAAGGTGGCCATCAAGATATCATGTCTGATGGCACTCGCATCCATGAAAAATGTCCTGAAGCGAGAACAGCGCGTTCAAGGTCACGCTACGTACGGCTCGTATTCCTGATAGTGGACAAGGGGCCTTTTAAGACAACACTCTTCAACCCCCCCCCCTTGCTACCACAATTGTAGCTTGGGTGACCTACCTCGCGCCCAAACATTGACTCTTGCTCAAAGACCCCAGCAACTTGCCAGCCTCCGGGCGCCGCGCGCGCTGCTTTTCATCCAGATCTGTGGCCGGTGCCTCCTTCCACATACTCAAGCTAACGATTGATGCCTCACGAAAGAATGTTAGTCGATGTCAGCCATGGTCAAAACCTCTCACATGGGCCCCCTTAGGCAAAAAAACACATGTCTGAATCCCCTACCAAGGTGATCTGCCAACCCCAAACCGGTCATTTGACCATGGCATGCATGCACACGGCGACGCCCGTGTCGGGCCCGCGAGATCCTAGGATAGTTGATCCTCGGCTGGGTGCAGCGAATTCTCGGAGTCAGAATCGAGCTGGTACCAATCCCTAAACAGAAGCATAGATTCACCTCTGGGAATCTTGAAACAGTCTTCTGTCCGTTTGATGACTGTCGGAAAAAAGCACATCTCACTTGGTCACTGGTTTGGTTAAATGGCTCTAACGAAAAAACATCCAAGCACAATGTCAAAACCAGGGACCAAATCCAACGAATGGCACCCGCGGATTCCACGAGCCTCCAAGCGTCGGCGCCATCTCTCAGCGCAAACAGCTGAGCCGTGAAAGCTGGCGCTCAGAAGCTGGCGCTTCCCGAGCAAAAGGAAACCCGGTAGCGACGATGGATGCCAAAACGTGTCAGCACGAAACTGGGCTGCCACTTGTTTTAGTGGGTGAAATTCGGAAACTACCGCCAAACCCAAAAAGCCTAAAAAGCTAACGAACCGGACGGCTGGGGGCCACCAAGTAAACAAACAAACACAACAAAAAGGTACCCAAAACCCTGCTCCGAACTGCCCCGTGAATCCCCTGAACCCCCCTTGCATCCCCGGAACCGCGGAGGTGCATCCCGCCCATATACCCCACCAACGCAAACGATGATTCCTCGGTTGAAAAGGACGATCGCCTTGCGGCGACGTTTCAATATGTGAGAGTTTGCGCACTGCACTTGGCAGGCCAGCAGAAGAAACTGCTAGTGCTTTGCGCGAGCTTGAACAGTAGACGGTACCCTAAGCAAAACCGGCGCACCGGCAACTGGGACCCGGTGACGCACCGACCAGAAACCTGTTGCCCAAACCGGTCTCCAGAGCACCATACCAATCAAGGGGGTTCCCCCTGTAAGAAAATGGTCCATTCTAAAGGGCTGGGATTCATCCGAGGTTGACATTAGATAGGAATCCGCAAGTCTGTTCTTTGGCTTCCTTTTGGTCTCCCCTGAACCCCAAAGGTGTAACACACGCTGGTGGGCAGGGAGCCAGGGAGCTGATATCCGAGCAAAAGAAAATGAGAGGAGGGGGCCTTTCCGAGTTCTGCAAATGGTAGAGATGTCTAAAAAGGACTTTGGGCTTTCATGGACCTATGTTTTGGACCCCAAAAGTTGCGGATGCCTCCGACTGAAGTCTTGATGTCCTAATTTGTGTCCCAATTTGTTCATGGGATGACATCTTGGGGCTCACCTTATAAACAAACAAGCTCAGACGATGTCCGCATCGCCGGAACCCTCCGCATGCCGGAATCCCCAGACAAGACAACGGCCATAAACCCATTTTTCCCATGTCCCTTGGAAGGCGGCTGCCATTTCTCCCTATTGGAAGGACCCATTGTCAGTTTCTTGTCAACATACTCTCCAACCTGTTGCACATGGAAATGGAACCACTGGCCTCATTATCTTAGCATGATCCAAGTCACCCCCTAAGTGATGGGCTACGGGGAAACAACCCCATTGTCTGACTTCCTAGAAACGTCAGAATAATGACCCCTGAACAACTCCTCCCACCAGGGGGCCATCAACATCGCCTTGGCATCCTGATGCGACCTGCGCCAGGTCAGCCTGCGGGTCAACATTCACCTCCGCAGCAGACCCTCCGCATTCCGGCGAAGTCTGGTGCTGCGGGAACCTGGCTGTTGGCTCCCTCAAGGAATCACGGAAGCTTTCCCCAAGGTTCCACGCGGCAATGCCACAAAAGCAAGACACATCTGGGTCTGCCTGTTTGACTTGCTAAACCATTGCGCCATCTTGGGGGAATAATCCTTTCTTTAAAAAACGAATGGAACCACATGGAATCAAACAGCGAAAAGGAACCACACATTTCTTGAATGGAAGCTACTTCGAAGTGGCAACTTCTCTGTTCGCCCGCGGGTTTCGCACAGGCCACGAAACTTGGCACCTCTCCCGTGGGTCCAGTCTACAGGGCACGCCCTGTTTCGAGGCGAGAGGCAGAGGGCTGAGGGCTTTCATGGTAAGGCTGATGTGGGTCCGTCGTTTTACGGCCTCCAAAACAATTTAGAGGCTATGATCTTTAAGCCAGGAAGTGTTTTTCTGGGTTCAGCCAAGGGGTGTGGGATATTCATTCCGTCTTGCTCCTCAAAAGAAACAGGGGACCACAAGTTGGTTTAAAGTTTAGAACATGTTCCCATGTCCCTCCCACATGTGTCGCATACACATCTGCAATGCGCCGGAAGTTTCTTAGAACCCTGCTTAGGCGCCAGTGTTAAATATGCTAAACTGGCTAGGAATACACGGCACATGTGAGATCCTCATGGTTATGTAAGGTAGAGATACGCTAGACTCAGGTTACGCATATGTTCATCAAATGTTGGAGCCATAATAGAACTACAGTGGACGTAAACCGGAAAATATTCACTGTGGGTCATTTGCTAACAACACGCTGGCAATATGCTAGGTATATGATAACCCAGAAACTAAGCATATAGTTGATCCAAGCAAAGCACGTAAAACATATGATAGGCAACTACTAGCAATATGCCGAGAATATGATGTTAGACATTTAAAAAAAAAAAAGCAAAGAAGCAGCGCAGCTAGCATATATTAGTGCCATGTGTTAGAACTATGCCAGGCCTATTTCAAACATATGCAAATGCTTTAATATACAACCGTTCAGACAAAATATAGAAGAGGAAATTGCATACACGCAGGCTTGAATCATGCTACAACGGTGCTACACATATACAAGACACATGCCAGCCAAAAATCAGATAGGTGCGCTACAACCAGCATATGCTAGAAAAGCAAAGACAATGGTCAATCATCTGGAAGATACTGATACATGTTGTGTTTCCGTGGCATTTGGCCATGGGTCAATAGCCCGTACCCCCAGTGAACATCCCAATCCCCACTAAAATAAAGCCTAAAATGGGTGGTGCACCAATCCCCCAAAATGGGACCCCATTGGTTTTGACAACCACTGCCATTTGACAACATGAAGCAGCTCTCAAAAGCCCAAGGGATGATGGGCAGAGTTTGGTTTGCCTTGTTTCATCCGAGCCTAAAAAGGCGCTTAGCCCTCCGCGTGGTGAAATCTGTCCGCCAAGACGCGGGCAAAACGACCTAACGCCCGGACGAGGACTGGCGTCATGGGAAGAAAATGAAAAGCGGTCCAACCGCGGTTGTCCAATGGACGACCTAGCAAGACCAGGAATCTTCAAAAAGAAGAATGCATTGCAAGACGCATCCATAAAGAGTTCGTGAGAAATAGTCTTGTCACATCCCATGAGTTTCTGCCAGCGACTCAAATCTGAGAATTGCCCTCGTCGCGGGATCTGGGTTCAGGTCGAAAACTTAGAATCTCAGCTGATGGCTCTAGCGTATCAGCTGTAATCTTGACCGCGGATTCCTACGAATCCTTCAACAAAAAAAACACCACTCAGGGCGATGCAGCCCAACAAGAGGACACGCCTAAAATAGAAAAGCAACCAGCTGATGAATCCTGAGTTTAACCCCCACAAAAGCTTGCCGGGAACCCCCCGAACCAACCACTGGTTTTCTTCAAGTCAAAAGGGGGTGTCAGAAATCCGGGTCAACAGGCGCCAATACGGTCCCAGCTTGCTCGGGCAGCTCACACACTTGCTGAACGTGAGCACTTCGGGGCTTCCTGGAGCTTTCCTCCAGTCGTCCAGTCGGCTGTTTGCCGCGCCCCGTGAGGCCGCAGGCGCAGGAGGCGCAGGAGGCGACACGCTTTACGTTTAAAAAAAGTCCGGGGCACTAAATGAGGGGCCCGACTCGGCGAGCGACCTGGACGTGAGTAAACTCACGGACATGGCGGACATGGCGGTCGGATTGAAAGGCATGGAGGGATACCGTAGGACTTGGCCATGCAAACAACATCTAGACATATCTAGACCTAAAGACAAATGGGAGATAGACTCTATATGTTACTCGCCATTGACTCCAGGCCTCAAGCCCCGAGCTCCCGTGAACAGATTCAGCACTCAAGCATCACTCTCACGACGCTGGCACGTGGCACCTCACAGATCGAAGATCATTTTCGTCACAACCTGAGTGCACCCGTCTCTTTCGCCCAGCCGTGTCTCTGAGGTACACATTGGAGCTTGCGGAAGAAGAATGTGTTTTTGAGAAGGGGTGTCGTTTCCTGTTGTGGTCATGAGAGGCCAGATGTCCGTGGCAAAGTATGGGCGCTTGACTTGCCATTGAAGTCAGCATTACGTGTAAAACTTCGGGAGGCAGAGAGCACTGATCTTGATTGTCTGCGTAGTCCTGAGTCAAATGGCCATGGGTCAAAATCCCGTACCCCCAGTGAACATCCCAATCCCCACTAAAATAGACTATAGTGGGTGGTGCACCTACCCCAAAAAGGTACCATTGGTTTTGGACCATGGCCACATCGAGATTCGGATGCGGAGGTCCTAGAGCATTCTGCCATCTGGCAGCGAAATTGCTTGAGGTTTCTCTAGCTGCGCTTTGTGACAAATCAAAGCTGTGTTGAACAACGTTTGGAAAAGCAAAGCAACAAATGCCTCAAATGCTCAACTGTGAGAAGAGCCTATGCTCCGAGCATCGTTTGCTCTTCCCAAGCTAAGAGAAGAAACATATGGGTGTGCTTTAAAGGGAAATCAATTAGAAACCTCCAATTCTGGGGTCCGAATCCTTATCTTGAGACATGATACTTTGCCAAAGAGCCAAGTCCAACAAGCCTCTGACCAAGCGGTCTACGGTTTTTGGTATTACACCCTGGGAATACACCCACTGGGTATTGACCCCATTTAGGCACATTTCTGGATAAAACCGTGTTATTTTGAACCATTCTGGGTCATTTCCCGAGGGTGTAATCCCAGGGTGTAATACAAAACCCTCAGATGCGGGCATTCTTCCAAAAACACCCGGTGTGTCGACCCGGGCATAAGGTTTCGTCAAAGATTGACATCCCGCCAAACAGCAGGGCCTTGGCTCATAGGTGTGCGGTACCTCTCCGAACATGCACCACACGCAACTCGCCCTCTATGGCCATCACGGCAGCGCCGGGTGTCGACGGTATCTCGATCTGGCGCATAGATGTTTGCTTCGAATCCCCAAGTTGCAAACTGGGGTCAACCGCCCAGAAAACTGTCCGATAACAGGGATCCTTACATTATACACCTGAACATTGCCTTGTAAATGGTGGTTTCCCTTTATTTTGGTGGAAAAAGCAACATGTTTCAACTGGGCAAACGTATCTTTCAAGGAGCCCTGGATAAATTGGTGGGTTCCCAACTGCTTGGGGCAGGTCTCCACTCTGGGCCAACTACCGAACCCCGATTGCGCCCAAACACCTTGGTGCTGCGATCCGGGTCTGTCTTTTGAGGGCACCAACCAAAGGTGACCTTTTGACAAAAATTGGCGGCCCTGGTCAATGGCGCATATAACAAAAACAAAAACAAAAAAACAGGGAACCGATTTCATTGCCCAACCTGGCCGATCAAAAGGACACCTATGATGCCAACTTTTTGGGGGTTAAATTAAAAAAGAAACCGAAGGGCAAACCACCCAAGATCACGGTCTTTACAGGGTAAATATCACAGCCCACTGATGTCTGGCTGAATCGGCCGTTCCTTCATGGCTCCCTAAGCTTGCAAGACGACACACCTTCCGATCGATCAATCAGAAGCAGCTTGTATCACCCAAGATCGATTCAAGAAAAACACTGGACTTTGGGTCTTTCTTTGCCAGAGACAAACCAGCCAATTCTCGCTCTGCAAACTCTCCGGGCGCACCCGAATCCGCGGTGCGTGAGACCTGAGCAGGAGGCAGGATCTCTCAAACGGGCAGGACCCCTGATCTCAGAAGGGTGCTTCTCAAAGCAGGGGGTGTTGTGGTGTCCCTTTTCACCGTCCAAGTTAGCCAAAAAGCCCTGGAGGCAAGGCCTGAAAATGGCCAAGTGTGGCGACAGGAGTCCATCAATAAACCCTTAATTGACTGACAGGGGATCTTTGACTGGGAAGTTTTGGGGCGTCCAAGCCATTGATGCTTCTTTATGACATGTTTAATGGTTTCGCTCGGGTAAATGGCAAATGCATGACCAGCGGGCCTTCCAGTTGGCGGGACGTGTGATTGTTTCACTGGGCACTTTGAACTCGATTTCGAAGCCGCATTTCTTTGCTTGCAAGACGTGGCGGTGCTGGCATGTTCGTCTCGTGCCAATTTGGAACGGCTAGAGGATGATTTTCTCAAATTCACGGAAGGAGGACTACTTAGAAGTCGACCTGTACTTGGAAGAGTTGCTGCAATGCAAGCTCCGGAGGACTGGACTCGTCCCATTCAAAAGGGTTGGGAAGAATCTCGCAATTTTCTGGCCCTTTGGACATCGTTCAATTTTTTGTCCACCGAACCTCCGGGTTCGAACTCGCGAACCGTCATCACCGTCTCGGGCGCCGGGCTGAGGAGCTTCGTGCTGCACCTAAGCACAGGGAGGGGCGAGAAATCTGGCGGTGCGTTGAGACGGTGGCCTCAGAATCCACGCCAGGCACCGCAAGTGGATGACACGCCACAAACTGTGAAATGGACCACCACCTGACTGCCGGATGGTTTGGCGCCTCCTCGTTTTGACCGCTCGTTGACTCATCACTGGCTCATTTGGCTGTGGGTCACAAAACCCCGTACCCCTGGTGAACATCAACATAGGTGGCAAATGGATGTTCATTCACCCCAAAATGGAGCCATAGGTTATGCCCCATGGCCATTTGAGAAATGCCCACCTCATCATGTGGATCCCAACAACTTCCCGCCTCTCCACTCGAAGGCATCCACCTCAGTCGAACCCAAATCCCAGAGGCGCTTTCGCACCCCGGAAAAAAGTGTCTGAGCAACGGGGATGACATCCACCGGTCGAAATCCGTGACATCCCATTCGCTCCATCCATTTTCCATCCCATGCGGAAAACACACATTAAAAGAAGTCTTCAGTCTTTGATCGAAAGCCGAAAGCATCCCATAGATGGAGAAGGAAAAACAATAAATAAATCTCTGTTCGCTCTCGTAAGCCGAGTGGCGGGTAATGGGACGGTCCAGCCGCGCTTTGGGACTTACTTCTGGACGCTGGGACCACTTTGGCAACTTGGGCACTCGCCAGCGCACCTGGCTGTGGGTCAAAACCAATGGTACCATTTTGGGGTAGGTGAATTCACCACCCATTTTAGTCTATTTTAGTAGGGATTGGGATGTTCACTGGGGGTACGGGATTTTGACCCATGGCCACCTGAGACAGAAACGAAACCATGGGAAGCGCCCAACTTCGCAAACGGTTTCTTTTGTTGTTCCCTCGCGGAAACACTGAGATGCCTTTCAGCCAGCGCCGCGAAAAGACGACTTTTCAAGATGACCACCCTCCCAGCGATTCCTCCATCCAGGAGTTGAGTGATCTCTTGGCCCTGCATCCTTTCCGTTGGGGACAAAGTTAGATTGGATACAGGCCCCCAGCCACAGGCAAAAACAAAAAACAAAAACGGCAGCTCTTCAAGACTTGAGCCCACCGCTCGAGTCCTGGAGTCCTGGAGTCACGCACCCCACGCACCCCACGCGCCCGACGCGCCCGACGCGCCTGGGACCACCTCCCGAACAACTTGAGGCAACGAGGCAGGCCGCCCTTTGGTGAAGACCAGCGGTGCGTCAAAGCCCCGAAGAGCCTCTCTCACCACCGAAAAAGGAGGGAGATGAGCGCAACATCGGCTGAGAGTTTAGGGGAGGAGGGAGAACACCCTGCAAATCTTCGGAAAATATAAAACGGGTGCGGATTTATTTTGGGATGATGTTTTTTCTGTTTGCTTTTTTGTTTTTCGTCCGGGCCAGTAAAATGTCGTGGGTTACAGCATGCATTTGACACTAGCCCGTCAACATCCCCAGCATCGTTTTCAACATCCCCCGCATGTCCGACCAACATCCCTAGCATCACCAACAAATCGTGGGCAACAACAAAAAAGTAGCTGGCGGGTTGACGGGGTCAAAAAAAATGATGATTAGGAGGGCATTTCGTAACAAAAACTGCGGGCGGGGGCGGGGGGGGGGGGGGTTGGGGGGGGCGGCAGCCCCCACCATCCCCATGATGTCGAATAGGGGTGCAGTTAAATCTCTGCAAAAAGTCTGAAAAGTAGCGGGGGGGTTGGGGAGGCGGCAGACCCCCCCATGATGTTCGAAGAAGTGATGATTCAAGTATTGGTGCAATGATTCAAGAAAGGATGCGATAGAATGTAAAAGGCTGCGGGAGGGTTGGCGGGGGTGGCTTCCCCTATGAGATGATTCAAATAGGGGTGCAATTCAATCTCTGCAAGAAATCTAAAAAGTAGCGGGGGGGGGGGGGGTTGGGGGGGAGGCGGCAGCCCCCACCATGATGTTTGAAGAAGTGTTGATTCAAATAGGGGTGCAGTTACTCTGAAACAATCTAAAAAGTAGCGGGTGGGTTGGGGGGGAAGCCGCCATGATGTTTGAAGAAGTGATGATTGAAATAAGGAGGAACTGGTGATGCTGATGATGTCGGAAGCGAAATCCAAAAACCAATGAAAGGATGCAAAGCCAAAAAACCTGGCGAGGAACTAGGAAAGCAGAGGATGCGAAAAGCCAAAGCCGCCAAAAGCCGCCGCAAAAGTCAAAACGCCCCCTGCTGAAGAGGAACTGGAAATCCAGAGGATGCGCAAAGCCAAAGCCAAAAAGCCACCATAAACCAACAAGAAACCGAAAAGCCAAGAAGCCAAGAAGCCAAGAAGCCAAAAAGCCAAGAAGCCAAGAAGCCGAAATTGCCAAGAAGCCAAGAAGCCAGAAGCCAAGAAGCCAAAAAAAAAATAGAAAAAAATGGAAGAGAAAAAAACTCCATATAAAACCAGCCTCCATATAAGTCAAGGGCTTATTGAACCCCAAGGTGGAACTATCCTATCTGTGCTTGGAACACGTGGAAACACATATGTCCACATTGAACGGTGAGTCATAAGCCTCAGCATTGCCTGTGAAGTCAGAGGCTGTGTCAGAAGCAAATCGAGTCCATGTCCCATGGCTCTTGCGTCAAGGCACATATCAGAGTACATATTTGCACACACCAGACGCAGAGTGCAAACATAAGTAGGATTAAGCAACTTATTGCTGGCTCGGCCCTGAGGCGCTACGGGCCTTCGGCCCAAGTTCGAAAACATGATTTAAAATATGTATATATTATATATATATATATACATATATATATATACATATACCCCTTTCACCCCTTGGCGAAACTCTTGACACATCTGAGCGGTTTCTTCGATCCAACCCATGTCTCTGGCCTCCAGCCCTCTCTTGCCAAGCATGGCGGTCAAATTTGCGCCTGGCCACTGGCGGCCACCCGGACTCGACTCGCAGCCCCCGAAATCAATCGTCATCATGTCCCAGGTGTCCCATGTCCTCCCCCGAGTAATGACACTAAAAAGATCGCTGTACAAACCTCACCTTGAAAGTGTGCGAGGCCACGGCACCGCTCCAATTGAGGTAATATCTCAAAGGACGATGCACTTCGGTGTCCCTGGTTTCCACTTCACCAAAAACGGCTCACCAACAGTTGCCTGCCCATTTTTCGGCCCAGACCACCACCACCACCACCCCCCCCCCCCCGCCTTTGCCCTGAATGGCGGCAGGGCCAACCGACCGCACGTGATATTCGGCGATCTTCCGTTGGCTTTCTGGCTCCGCGAGCGCGTCCAGAAATTCCTGCGGTTCGCTCTCTCGGGAGACTCCCCGGACAGAACCCTGCCGCGCCAAACCTTTTCTTTTTTGTGAGGACCAGAGACCAGTAAAACACCAAGGAACCGAACGATTGGTTGCAATCAAGAAAAAACAGCTTGGCTGCAATGAAAGGAGCATCGCAAGCCCCATCCTGGCAGGCACTTGGTGATTCGAAGTTCACAAACCTGGGGCCAAGTCACGTCACTGAGTCACGATTTCGCTGCACACCTAGCCCAGGGTTCCAGAAAAACTTCCTCCTCAAAAGTCACCCGACCAAAATGTAACTTCACTTTAAAAATTGCCCGACATGGTGATGTCTAAAACTACCAATATCAGGAATGTATGGGACCCTGTTCGTCTTCTCGCACATGCATCGAGGCCGCGCTAGGCCGATGTTGGAGGCGCCATCTGTGGTCCATGGCACGTAGATGTAGTCATACCTTGAAACGTTTTGCTCAAAATCGAGCACAGCCCCAAAATGGGACTGCGGCTTTCCTTTTGGTTTCTTTCAGGCTTTCCAGAAAGTTGGAGATGTGTCACAATACAGATTCGGACCCCAAAAGATGTGGGTTTCCTTTTGGAGTCCCTTTCAACAAACCAGAAAAGGGGCACCTCGAGACACTCACACGCAAACAGGTATCCAAATTGGGAGGAACACCTGTCTGGTGAAACAGGTTTGTTTACACAAGTTCCCAGATGTTGGACACCTTCAAAACCTGCCTTCTTGGCAAGATCTTCTGAATCAGAAGGTGAAGACTTGACTGGCCCGGAAAGCCGAAGCAAGCCCGTTGGACACCCATTTTTTCACAAAACCCAGGTCCACAGCCAGGTTTGGCCGTCCCAGGACTTCCCGAGACTTGCAGACAGGTTGCTGCGCACAACGCCCAGGCTGAATCTCATCCCTTGAATCGATGTGCGTCAACCACTGGAAACACTGCAAAAACACAACAGCTTGCCCACCGGAAAACAAACAAAGACTTCTGACGTCTTATTTAAGAAAAAAAACATGAAACAAATTTGGGAAGCAAACATCCAAGACCTAGGACCTAGCCTTTTCACTAAACAAAAATCAAGTTTCTGACATCCATGTACTCCATTTGGCCAAGCGACAATAACGTAACGACCATGTCCCGGCTGACCTGCCGATTCAAACCTCTCATGATGAGAGTCGTGCAGTCCGCATCGATGCTTTCAATGCGGGCTGCCGCCGGCGCATCGATCATTGCGCCGCAAAGCCCACGTCATACCAAGCACGAACAAAATTTGGAGCCAGAAAGCTGCCAAAGAAGCACATCGGAAAGCGTTCGAGTCGAACAAAGAACCAAAACCCTACAAGTTGCAAGTTGAAAATGATGTCCAAAATCCAGACTTGGTAAGCAGAACGTGCGGCTGATGTGCAACACTAAAGAGAGGTGCCGTGCACAGTAGACATGCCACGTATAGCCACAAGACACTGAGATGAGGCTGCAATGCCCTCTACAGAGATGCACGGGTAGACATGTGCAGCCCTGTGACACACGCAAAATCAAAATGATCGCAAGGGGCCCCGAAAAGCGACAAGAAGCCGGCAGTTCTGCAAAGTGAACATAACTCACAAAATCCAGTGCTAAGTTTGTTATGTTCACATCTGGGTTATGTCTGGTTCACAAAACTGAGGGGTTTCATAACTCAGATGCAAACTCACAAACCCCTCATAACTCCAGTTTCACATCGTTTCTCTCTAAAGCGCTCTTCGAAACTCACAGGCAAGCCAAGGAAAGCCACGATTTTCCGCCCTCGAGCTGTGAGTCAACTGGCAGGCTGACGCCCAGAGCCTGGGGTGACAAGGTGAAATTTCCCTCTCTTACACCACTAAGGACCACAAGGGCTCCGTTAAAGGGTAGCCTCACCAATTATCATTGGGCTCCCAGAAGAGTTCCAGGTCTTCCGCTTCCGGGTCTTCATAGGACGCGATCAACCGACCGCCCCCAATCCACACACGCTGTATGTAGCCGTTGTCAGAACTTTCTGGGTCATCATTCACCAGAATGTCGAAAATAGCCAGCACCCGGCACAACAGGAGGCCCATCATCCACAACGTCGACGAACACATAAAGAACAACTCCGGGGCGCTACCCATCCAATCCACCTCCACCGCATAGCGTTGTGCCACCGAACAATCCAGGGCGGTATAGACACCGCGATAGTTTGGATTTGGATGATCGGTTGGTCTGAAGCCATACCTCATGATTTTTGTTCTGCAGAGAGATGCGTTGTGCCACGGTAGCCCACCCGAAACCGCCGCCTCCGCCGCCTTTGAGGCCGTTAAGCGGTCAGGGCGCAAACAGCCACAGCAACAAGGCAGACAAGTGCGCGACCAATAGTACGCAGAATGAACGGCCCAAGCTGTTCATTGAGTCGCAGTAGCCTTTGGCAATCCACTTCTTGCACTTGTTCCTGGATGTCTGCCCCATGGGCTTGTTCAAGTTGTCTTTGAAGCTCTGCTTCTTGAACCTGTCTGTGGAACTCTGCTTCTTGGGCTTGTTGCAGTTCCTTTGAAGCTCTGGTTCTTCGATCTCTGTCTGGAACTCTTGGCCTTGTTGGAGTTGGCGTTGACGCTCAGGCAGGTCCAAGAAGCAGAGCGTCAAGGCCGGCTTCAACAAGCTGAAAGGCAACGGGCGGACGCCCAAAGACAGGCCCAAGAAGCGCAGTTCCAGAGACGGGTCCAAGAAGCAGAGCGTCGACGCCAACTGCAACAAGCCCAAGAAGCAGAGTTCCAGAGGCAGGTCCAAGAAGCAGAGCTTCAAAGCCAACTGGAAGCAGAGCGTCAACGCCAACTGCAGCAAGGCCAAGCGTTCCAGAAAGAGATCGAAGAAGCAGAGCTTCAAAGCCAACTGGAACAAGCCCAAGAAGCAGACTTCCAGAGACAGGTCCCGAGAACCCAAGAAGCAGACTTCCAGAGACAGGTCCGAGAAGCAGAGCTTCAAAGTCAGCTGGCTGTTGCAGTTGGCGTCGACGCTCTGCTTCTCGGAACTGCGCTTCTTGGGCCTGTCTTTGGACGTCTGCCCGTTGCCTCTGAGCTTGTGCAATTCGGCCTTGACGCTCTGCCTCCCGGACCTGCCTCTGGAACTCTGCTTCGTGGCCTTGTTGGAGTTGCTGTTGATGCTCTGCTTGTGGGAACTGTCTCTGGAGTTGACGCTCTGCTTCTCGAAGTAGTCTCTGGATCTCTACCTCTTGGGCCTGTCTTGGGGCGTCCGCCCGTTGCCTTTGAGTTTGTTCTGCTTTTGCGCCTGTCTTTGAACAACTGCCCGTTGCTTTTGCCGTTGACGGTCAAGTGCTTCACCAGCATGGGCTCATGCAATACTACTCAAACCGCTACTGTCTTGTACAGGGCCTGAGCAACAAAATCGCTGCAGCCAGGGGCTATCTTAAGTGCTGAAAACAAGCACTCTGATTCTCCGCACTGCGGCTGTCTCCACTCTGCAATCCAAGACAGGGTTCGAAAGAGCTACGTCGTGCCGTCATGCTCTGACAATACTGCAGGTTGGTTCATGCCAAAACCGTGCCAAACGTGTCGACGAAATGCTGCATAACCAGTTCGAGGTGTAGCGTTCCAACGAGCTCGCACCTTTTGCACACGCATGCTTACATGTGAGCAGCTGCATGGCTTCAAAAACCCGACCCGATCTGCTCGGCATAGCCTTGTCAAAGCTGTCAATACAAGCGTCCGTAACATTCTCGCCCAACAGCACAAACATTGCGGTCAAGTAGTCCGGTAGGCGGTCGCAAATACAGCCATCAAAGCGTACATCAAGAATTGCGCACATAGTGCTTGGAGTTGTAAGCAACTTCAGTGAGGGAACACCTGGAGCACCCCGTTTTTGGACCCAGAAGTGGTCTCAAAAACAAGACCTCACAAATCAGCCAAAATCGCGATTGCTGGTTTATCCTTGTTCGACAAGTTTAATATTAGTACGTTATGCTGAAGGACAATTTATATTCCGCATAAACAGCACAGACGTACTGTGTCATCAATTCCGTGTCACAGCGGAACTGACTGCAGTAAGCAACAGAAAATGACCATGAACAGCAAGACTACACAGGCTTAGGGTTTAGGATGCGTCGATTGAGCCGCAACAAAACCAAATTGCACACAACACATGTGAGAGAGCAAGCACAAACACTCTCCCTTTTTCCAATTTCATGATGGTCCACGCACATTGTTCTCCTTAGGGTTTAGGCTGCTGTTTTGCGAGTGGGATACCTGCTAAGCATGTATGTTAGACTAGGTAAGACCACTTCCGGCCAAACTCGTGTCGCATGCTCATGTCAACGACACGCGCTGAAAATTACACATCTCAAGCTCACTGCAGAAACAAGGCGCCACAGACAACATTCCGCCCTTTTTTTTTGGCCCTGCGGCCACCCAGTCTTCCCCATCATGATGCTTCGCATAATTCCGACGGTCCATCCATCCATCAAAGACAACCGCTCTGACCAGTTCAAGCATGGCGCTGGAAATCCTTCAGTGAGCAAACAGCTGCTGCGTGGTCACCCAAAGCAAACAAAACAACCAACTAACAAACGCACAGGCCAGAAGATACTTCCGACACAGCGCGAATGTCTAAGCCTTTGTTCTTGTTTTGTAAACTCTAAGACAGGTTATGCCAACATAAACATACAACAGCATGGTGTTGCCGCTACAGTCCAACTACTCGTCCTCCAATTAGAGAAGCGAAACAACAAAACTACAGGGGCTTAGGGCTTGGGATGCGTCGATGAGGCGGGCGACACAGCAAACTTCTGTGTAACACATGCGTCAGAATGTGATGCAGGCACAGCCAACCGAACATGAAACCATGTCAAAACAGCTGTCTTTGGCGCGCCAGCCCGAAGCTTTCAATGTCTACGCGTCGACGGACAGCTTTCTGCCAGCGTCGCAGTGTTGGAGGCGCTCAGCTACACGATTATTCAGACGCGACGGAAGTCTACATTCCTAAACCCATGACATGCCCCGTTTCATGGCTTTCCATAAAATTTAATAAAGCGCACAGACAGAAACCAATTCTCCAGTGTGCAAAAAAAACATACATAGAAGCTGCATCGTGCTTACACAACCCGACATATTGATCGAAAACCTCTCAATGTTGTACAGCAAATCCGAACCATTGAACCACACACAACCTGCGCCGCACAAAGAACCAGCGTATTGATCGAAAACCCCCGGACC